ATAAATTATTATTTTGTCATATCTTACACTGTCTGATGTCTCCCTTCACTCACTTTTCTGTTTTCCATCCCCCAGGGAGGAGGTTATATGTAGATCCTTGTAATCTGTTCCCCCTTTCTACCCCACCTTTCCTCTACCCTCCAGGTATCGCTACTCTCAGCACTGGTCCTGAAGGGGTCATCTGTCTTAGTATTTCTATTAAAAGGTTGAAAATTTACATAAGTTTTTAATTTTAAATAAAAATTGTTGGAAGTATATCATATGACATTACATAATTCTAGAATTAAAGAGATAACTTGAGAAAAAGCTCGTTGAGTGCCTGCCTCAAGGCAAATGTTTCAAAATGTTATCTTTTTTGATAATAAAGCTTATTGAAACAATTTTTACTCATTTCTAGGATGTGATAATTTTAAGGCTTTATAATGACCTAGGAGTATCAAATGGGCCAAGCCCTTGTTGTGCTGTAGGTTAAGAATCGACTTATTAAGGCCAAGGTCAAACCAACAGCTGTTCCTTGGGAAAGAGATGGATGGACCTATCCGTTCCAGTAAAGACTTAGTGTCAGGAAATCTAGAAAGTTCTAGGAGGTGGAATCTATTACAGAGTATAGGGTTGGTGTTTTATATTATTAATGCACAGTCTTAGTCATCCTTTCATGGTAGTCATTTATTGAAAATTTTAAACATTTTTGAACACATGAAGGTATTATAGAATATGCCAGTTTCCCCAGCAGATATTATTTTTGATGAATCATCATTATTTTTAAGTAATTGGTTACAAATATTGTCAAACTGCTGATCTACTTTTAGTTATGATTGTGCATGTGTCATTTTTTGGGAGGTAAAGAATTTAATCTGTTTTTTTAATATACAGTCTGCCTGATGTATGGGTGAATGAAAGTGAACGACATCAATTGAAAACTAAAGTAGTTCATTTATCAAAGCTACCCAAAGATACTGCCTTGCTTTTGGATCCAAACATATACAGGTAACGTAACCTTGACTTTAATGTTTTAATCTCCCTTAAATTTGGATATAAGATTGGTATTTATATTTAAGTCCACAATTTCAATATCAAGCATATCTTTCGTTAAGATGCTTAGTATTTGGGAATTAAAAACTCAAAAAAGAGTTTCAAATGCTTGAATTCTGAAAGACAGTATTTTTCTAAAGTTTTGTTTCAGTTTTATTATCTTAGACTTGGTCAAATTTTTTTTTTTTGACTTGGTCAAATTGAGAATATATCATACACTCTACATGCCAGTTGTGTGATTGACTCTTTAAAAATTTACGTTCTACCCAAGCTGTAAAAAAGAGCCCTTTAAATTTTATTCTGGGAGTCCTTAGGAAATAAGGATTTATTTCTATAGTGTTCATTTTTACTGATGTTTAATCTGATCCTTTTTTTACTGATTTTTCATCTGATTCTTTGTTTCAGTCTCCTTAGCTTATGAAGTGTTGAGGAGGGCTAGAGAAAAGACCAATGTTCTGACTGTCAGTTCATTGGGCTAGATGTTTTCCATATCCTCCGTCTTCTCTGTTAGCCCTGGTATGTGTTACTGTTCCCCCGCATCAGCGTTTGACTGATTGGAAAACTGGGGCAAGTGGTTAAATGTCTTTCTTAAGGTTACAGAGAAGAGTTCTATACTGCTTTATGCAATTGATGCACACTAGAATGATTTAGAGGGTCAAACTTGCAAAAACATGGTTTTGAAAACCACTGTGGATGAACTTTAATTTCTGTGCATTTAAAAGATAAATTTTAACAATATATATTTTACATAGAAATAGGCTAGATAAATTGACACAAAATAATTTCAAATGTAATTTTTAGTCGTCATAAAGAGACTATAGCCATTGCTTAATTTTATAGCAATTAAATATTTTGAAGGTTTGTTCATTTCATAGTGCAACTTTTTGTATTGTTCACCTGCATGCTGGGATTCTGGAATTTGAGCTGTGTTTTAAAAAATGGAAGATTTAATCGTGTTAGCATTTGGAAATATTGAGACACTTGTGTTTATTCTATTCAGCAAAGAGAAGAAACATCTTTAGTATCCTTTGGTGAAAACTGCTGAATACAATAAAATGTGTTCTTACTGGGATGATATGGGTTATCGAGAAATTAACAAATATAGAGAATGGTACAATGACTAAAGTAAAACTGAGGACAACACACTACCCAAAACACAGAAAGTTTGCAACTATCATCTTTTTATTTAGAAAAAGTTTTGTTTGCTAATAAATTTTTAGGGTTTGTTTCTGTTTGCTTTTAGAACTTTCTTGAACTTTTATAATAAATACTTTGCTACATGCACACATGACAAGCCTTTCGGAAACCTTTACTGTATCTTTTTTTTGGATGTTTTATTTATTTAGTTTTTTAATGGTTTTATTAGGGGCTCATACAACTCTTATCACAATCCATACATACATCAATTGTGCAAAGCGCATTTGTACATTCACTGCCCTCATCATTCTCAAAACATTCGCTCTCCACTTAAGCTCTTGGCATCAGGTCCTCATTTTCCCCCTCCCTCCCCGCTCCCCTCTCCCTCATGAACCCTTGATAACTTATAAATTATTATTTTGTTATATCTTTCCCGGACGTCTCCCTTCACCCACTTTTCTGTTGTCTGTCTCCCAGGGAGGAGGTCACATGTAGATCCTTGCAATCGTTTCCCCCTTTCCAACCCGCCCTACCTCTACCCCCCCAGTATCGCCACTCATAGCACTGGTCCTGAAGGGATCAACTGACCTGGATTCCCTGTGTTTCCAGGTCCTATCTGTACCAGTGTACATCCTTTGATCTAGCCAGACTTGCAAGGTAGAATTGGGATCATGATGGGAGGGTGCGGGGGGAGGGGGGGAGTGCGGCAGGGGAGAGGAGGAAGCATTTAGAAACTAGAGGAAAGTTATATTTTTCATTGTTGCTATTTCCTTTGACTTTCCTCCTGTCCCACCATCATGCTCAGTCCCCACCAGGGTTTCAGCAATCCCTCTCGGTTACATTACCCTTGATCATGCCCCACCAGGCCTCCCACACCATCCTCACCACCTATTTTGATCACTTGTTCCCTTGCCCCTTGGTTTGTTAACACCACTACCTTTGCCCCCCCTCCCTCTCTCCCATGTCCCCTGGGAACTGTCGGTCCCATTGTTTTCTCCTCCAGATTCTTCATCCAGCCTATCTTATTTAGACAGACCTGCAGAGATAATAACATGCACAAAAACAAGACAGCGAAACCAAGCAACAATATACAACAAAACAATGACAAAAAAACAAAACAAAACACAATAAGAAAGAAAAGCTTGTAGTTTGTTCAAGGATAGTTTGTTGGCCTTTAGGAGTGTTTTCTAGTCCAGTCTGTTGGGGCAAAAGTCCACCTTCACCATTCCCAAAGTCCACCTTCACCATTCCCTGGGGACCTCGCTGCTCTGTTACTCCCTTGCTGTTCTGTTGCACCCCCTTAGTGTTTTACCTCCGTATGGCGGGATCAAATCAGGTGCAATACCCACACTGTATCTCCGGTGTTGTCCCCTGTAGGGCTATGGGTCAGTGAGGGGTGTCAGGTCTCATAGCGGGGCCGGCCATGTGGTCCTCTCTGTGGACTGGCTGCTCTAATTGGGAACATGGTCCTCAAGGCCTGGTGGGCCAGGATGTGCTCCACTCCTCCTCCCCCTTCCATCTGCTCTCGTGTGCTCCGATCAGATATGTCCCTCTCCCAGAGCTTCAGATTTAATGTCCTTTGAAATAAATTCTTCTGAGGGTAGGGGCATAGTTACTGTATCTATGTAAATAAAACACCTGTTAAAACATTTTTGCAAACTGTAATCATCAGTTTCTTGTGCATACTCTGCACAGTGTGTGCTTGTGTACATTTGTGTACATTTTTGCAAACTGTAATCATCAGTTTCTTGTGCATACTCTGCACAGTGTGTGCTTGTGTACATTTTTTCTATGTGGGTTTGTTAAATGTAGAAATACAGTAACTTAGAAATAAGATGGAACAAAACACAGTTATTAGCTTTAAAAGTACTGTTATAAGTTAACCATCATTTGATTCTGCCTCATGGCGGCCCCATGTATTACAGAGAATGGTTCCCTCGGGATTTCTTGGTTGTAATCTCAATGGAAGCACACTGGCAAGGCCTTTTTTCACGGCATCAAATTTTTCGGTTGACAGTTGAACAAACTGTTTATGCCACCTGTGGAGATAATTTAAAATACTACTTGTTTAATATATGCTTAATGTTAGACTCAAGAATTTTCTTTTTTATAGCATAGTAGCAGGCTATCTAAAAAAGGATTATCAGAAATTTTAAAATTAAGTTAAATCCATTATCTGAGCATACTTTGGAAATAAAGTTTAATGAAAATAGATGATAGCTACGCTTACTACACCACACTAAATATTTTGATATCTCAAAGTGCTCAGTGTGGTTTGGATTCGACTAGATAATTAACTTGTATTTTCTTTTTTTTCTAGAACAATGCCGCAGAAGAGGTTGAAGAGGTAAAACAAATCAATACATAAAAGAGCAAACAAGCGGGGACACCTGCAGTCTTAGTCACTGACAATGGGTTTAGGAAAAGTTGCACATTAGAGACAACCCCCCCTTTTTAATCCAGTATTTAGAATAATATTTATGCTTAGTGTAAACATTCTGTGAATGAAGTAGATTCTTCTGTGGAATATATTAATATATTTCTGTATATCCACATTTTCATGGAATGGTACTGTGGGAGACTGAGCAAACACTCTTGGCAACTTAGTGGAGGCTTTGCATGCTTGCTGCTTTAAGCTGCTGCTCCCCCCTTCAGTGATCTCACTAGTTTATATTGGAAAGAGAAACAATTCCAACATGTATCCTTAAAAATACCAAAAGGCACTGTAAGGATAATTGGCTTGACAGTGTCTATTCATTTGAAATTGTATTAGGAAGTATTTAGACAATGAAAATCGAGAGATAATTTACTTTTCAATTATGAGTAATAGATGTGATTGGTTGCCATTTGTGTTCTTTTGCAGAACTCTGATAAGAAAAATTGTTCAGTTTGTATTTAAGCAAACTGAATGACGTTTGCAATCAACTAAAAATCCTTCTATCAAATTAGGGCAGAGAGTTACTGTTGCAGTCTGTCTGGTGGCTCCCCTTTCAGGATTAGGGTTTTCTCATGGAGTACACTATGTTAATATTTGCCGATCAAAACTAATCTGTTAACGGTTTTTGAAAACCTTTATTTCAAATGATTTGAATGATCCTCATATTTGCATTTTAGCCTATATAAGACTAATTCCACCACCACCCCTTTTGACAAATTCATTTGGATTTTGAGTTGTTTTAATGTAAAAAAAAACTTGTATTTTTTTTAAAGTATCTTCAAACTGAATCTTTTATGCACCAAAGTTGGTTTTGAAAAGAAAAATAAAATCACTTTCTTGCTTGGTAAGCAAGAAGCCATATGGGTTTTTTTAACTTACAGAAATGGAAATATGTGTAACTTGTTAGTATTGTATCAAATGTTGCATAGAGATAATAATAGTACATTGCTTGTAAATACTTCAGCAGATTTGTAATATATTTTTATATTATGAAATGTACTGTAGATGTTTTTTCTAGAGGCATGAAAATGTATATATTATGGTAGATATAATATTGAAGGATATTGTAATTCACTAGTGCTGCCAGAGGAATTGTTAATAAAGCACCTTCTTTAACAATAAATGTCTTTCGCAGACTTAAAGGACTATGTACTACTGTTAGTATCTATAAGAACAAAACACATTGAACATCCTTCCAGAAAGTCTTTGAGGGAGGACCTGTACCCATAATAGAATTATGGCACTCATTGCTGACAATGACCGTGTAGTCAGTTATTTCTTTACTGTTGGAAGAACATATTGTAAAGTATGTTGTTATATGCAGTCAAACTGCAGAAAATACTCCCGATTGAGGAGTTTTCACTTTAATACAGTAAATATAAAAACCAGCAGTTTTTACACTAAAATTTTAAAAGAAACAAAGATATAGAACCAAGCCTTTGGTTCCAAAATGGAAAGAACTCCATATGATACATCAGTCATTTCTCACTTGCTTTAAAAATTTTTTATTAATAATGGGAGAATTTATTCATTACAATGGGTTAAAGAGAGGTATATACATGGAATGAGTCGTAAAGTTTAATAAGTGCAAATTCAAGCACTGCTATAAGACATTCTGGAATGGTTGTTTAATAAGGGTATTATCCATGTGATCTGTAGCAATGTGATTTTATTTAAAAAAAAAAAGAAAGTGTGGTTTTATTTTTTTTCTCAAGCACTTCATCATTGCTTATCCTGTATCTAAAAAGTACTCTGCAATCTCCTTTTTTGTTTGTTTGTTTTGGCTTTTAATTTTGACTTACGAAATTGCCAAATAGAAATGTTTCAGATTTATAATTTGTACTTGTATTTTTATTTTATTGCTTCATGTTCTTAATTGTCATTCTTAATTGACGGATGATTGTAGACCTTGCCTAAGTATTTTTTCTAATAAAACAGAGCAAATTACATTTAGCATCAAAATGGTAATAGTTCAATTAAATTTTAAAATGACTTATGAAAATACATATCTGGTGCTTTCTTTAGGGACCCATGAGTAAATTACTTTTTATCCATGTACTTCAAAACCAGATTTCATGGTTATTGATTGGCCTCTAGTATTCCAGATCTTTTACTGCTTATCTGCCTTTGATTCCTTACTATTTTTTACACACCAGAGAATGTGGAATTAAAATGAGCTAATTTTATAACTTAACTATATACATCCAGTTATGATTAAGAAAATAGTGTGAAATTTTAAATTTGTAATGTTTATTTATGGATGTCCACTCATTTATATTGTTCCTCCTAACCCCAAAGTACGATATATACATATATATAATCGGGCACCTGAAATAATCAATCTCTTATTTGAAATTCATCATTTAGCTTGCATCTAGTGAATTACAGCCTATAAGCACACTCATTAATTTACATGTTGTCTGTAAAAGATTTCTGTTAGTTGTGGCAGAGTTGAATGGTGAATCTTATGGTCTTAATTCTAAAATACTTACTAACTGGCTCTTAAAGTTTGCTGACACGTAGTCTAGTTGATAAAAACTTTGGCAAAATACATTTAGACCATACAACTTGCATTTTCTTATGGTAGTGTTAATCTTGAAAAATAAGCCACTATACTGAAATTAGTCAACAATTTAAAATTTAAGTCATAATATTCATTGTCATACCAGATGCCTGGAATAGATGGTCCTTTCCCCCCTAAATTTTAAATTATATTTCTTAATAGTTACTAATAGCCCAGTATTTCATCATTTATGTTTTGTATTTTGTTTTATTAAATAGGACTAAAGGAGATTTTGTAAATCAGATCATGTTTAAACCATATGAGCACATCTACTTTATCTAAGAAAATTTTGAAGTGGAAAATATTGTAAAATTTAAAGCTGTTTATTTTTCTAATAAACTTACCTTTCATATATAAATCTTCCATAAAGTGGACCCACATTATTCCTTCTGAGTTTCTTATGAAGTTAAGATGTGAAGTATTTAACTCTCAATACATATTTTAAGATTTGTACTTTCATTGAAAGAATTGATAATCATGTTAGTAATCTTTTGAGTGTAATTATATTTTCCCTTTGCCTTTTAATAAAATGTTTTAAATTATGCACATATTCTTAAAAGGGAACATTTGCTGCAAGTATGTAAAGCATGATTTATTGTTTACTATTTGAATTTTGCTAGGAATATACAATTAACAAAAGTGTTAACTTTTAAAATAAAACACAAAGGATTGGAGGAAATGAGGTTCCAGAAATTAAAATACCTGAGTCTTTCCACTTAGTTATAATTCTTTATCCCTTTAAATAATTTTAATACTGTGTAAATTCTTAGTTTAGGTAGATTCTTGATGATGGGAATATGTATTTGTATAGAAAACCCTGGGCCTGCAGATCTACAAAAAGATGCTTGTTCAGAGAACTTGAAAAGGTTCACAGAAAAATGGAATAAAATGATAATGGAATTTTTTTCAAGAGCTATTTGAAGCCCTCTTGTATAATATGGTCTGTTTTATGAGAAGGGATTTAAACCATACATCACTTGAAGGTTGGCTTTCTTTTTTAAAGCGAACTGGTTTGTGGGTTTTATGGTAGAATATTTTCTTCAAAAATACTGCAGAAGAGAAACTAACAGAATTTTTTGCTGACTTTGTTTTTTATTGTTAAAGTAAAAGATTCTGTGACCTGATAGAGATTTTGCAGTTCCAGTGCTCAGACTTTAAGAATAAAGCCTAAAGAGCTTTACATTTTTAAACATTTGGATGTTTTGTCCTTTCTAATGAATATGAGACTCTAGCCTTAAAAAATACAGGAATTAAAAAACATCATGGTTTTTATCGTGCTTTTTGTTTTACATGTTTCCTGACTTTAAGTTTACATGGTATGATTCATGGTTATATTACAAGGAATTTGTGAGCTGGTTAGAGCAGTAATTAAGCCCAGAACTGTACCTAGGGGAGTTTTTTTAAAAAAAATCAGTTTATTGGGGATTCTTACAGCTCTCATAACATTCCATACATCAATTGTATCAAGCATATATGAATATATATATGTTGTCATCGTTTTTCTAAACATTTACTTTCTATTTGAGCCCTTGGGACTGTTAACTCTATAATTTTATTTTTAAAATCATTTTATTGGGAGCTCGTACAACTCATCACAATCCATACATCCATTGTGTCAAGCACATCTGTATATTTGTTGCCCTCATTAGTCTCAAAACACTTGCTTTCTGCTTGAACACCTGGTATCTGCCCCTCATTTTCTACCTCCCTCCTCGCCCCCCTCCCTCATGAACCCTTGATAATTTATAAATTATTTTGTCATGTCTTACGCTGTGTGTCTCTTCACCCACTGTCCTGTTGTCCTTCCCCCAGGGTGAGGGTTATATGTAGATCATTGTGATTGGTTCCCTCATTGTACCCCACCCTCTCTCCACCCTCCCGGTATCACCACTTTCCACTGGTCCTGAAGGGATCATCTGTCCTGGATTCCCTGTGTTTTCCAGTTCCTATCTGTACCAGTGTACATCCTCTGGCAAAGCTGGATTTGTAAGTTAGAATTGGGATCATGATGGGCGGGGGGGTGGGCATTGAAGAACTAGAGGAAAGTAGTGTGCTTCCATCATTGCTATCCAGCACCCACCCCTAAGTCAGTATTCTTTCTGCTCTACCAGCCTGCTTTTCACAGTAATAGAATATGTTATAGTAGCACATGAACTTCCTATACATTATGAAGTGTTTCTGGCATAGTTTTGTGTTGCAATCCGCATGGCATTAATTACATTCTCAAATACTTGAATGAGTCCTATAGGTAAGTATGTGGTACACAAGATATATGGGAGATTTAGAATGATAATACCACCAGTAGAGTTGAAGTAACCCAGCTTAAGGTAAAATTTGTTGATGCTTGTTAGCGTTTTATTTTTGGAAGCCTGTGTAAATTTTCTTTTTAAAGTCATTTTATTGGGGCCTCACAAACTCATCACAATCTATACATCCATTCATCGTGTCAATCAGATTTGTACATATGTTGCCATCATCATTCTCAAAACATTTGCTTTCAACTTGAGCCCTTGGTATCAGCTCATTCCCCTCCTGCCTCACCCCCACCCCAGGAACCCTTACCTATGTAAAATTTCATATGAACTTTATAATAGGAATTGTAGTTTGTCCAAGCGTTATCAATGAAGGGAGCATTGATGCTGTTTCTTAAGTACACAGTTGTCATTTCAACCTAATACATAATTTCAGCATTAAGATGTCAGTGTTGTTTTTGGTAGAGCCCTGCATGTTGTAATAAAATCTCAGTTTCATGAGAAAGTAACACAGGTATCAAATTTGACACTAAGCATATCGACCCCGTTGAAAACTTGATGTTGACAATTTTCTAACCAGTTAGATTTGACCAAAGCAGAACCTTGAGGTACCTTCAAGTTCTATTTTGGAAGTAGTTTCTCAATATTTATAATTGAGTGTTTTGTTTTGGTCCAGAGCATTTTCTTCCAAGTGTTACATTTTTGGGGCGCATTTTTTCCTTTAGAAAAACCTAATAATTTTTTGAGTTGTGTTGTTAAGGAGGAATAACAATAGATTTTAAAACTAGAGGTTTGATGTGAAAGCTTAAACTTGAAATCACTCTGGTTCATTTTAAATTTATAAAAATTTAAAAGAACCTAATTGGTTATCAGTTGAGTTCTGTATTGTAAACATCAATCTTTGATGTTGAAGATATTCTAACTTCTTACACATCTTTGTCTCTTAGATGCTTCCTCCCCTAATTTATATAAAAAAATTTTTGAAACATTCGAAACATATTTTCAGAATTTGATCTAAACTATCATTGGTGACTTTTAAATGAGTAAATGGTTTGTGTGATACACACGGACACATTTGTCTTTTTCATGTATCCAAATTAGTGATAATAGATTATACGTTAATCATGCTGTGCAACCATTAACCAGTGTCCATTGTCAACTCTTAATTGGTATAAACAAGCTCAGTGCTTCCTAAATGCATACCCATACGCACTACCTCTTTCCTGGCCTTCGTAACTACCAATAAGCTTTGGAAGCATACAGGGAGAAGATGTTTTCTTAATGTTTTAGTATTACATTGTAAATACATAAAAATAACGACTTAAAGTAAAATCTTTGGGATCCTAATTAGAAAAGATAAGTCCAGATTTAGTCCCTTGCTGCTTGCGTCCTATGTGCCTGAGTAACTCCTTTCTCATGGAAATAGAGCTGTAAGGATGATGAAAGAGCTAATCCTAACTGCTTAATCAGATGATAAATGCCACAGGTTTCCCAACTTCTCTGCCTGTTAGCTTCGATTTTATGGTTAACCTCTAATGAGTGTGTCATTCTAGGGTGTGCATTTTGTGGAGTTCATTCAAGCTCTACCCTACTTTAATTTTTTTTTCTGTAACTTTTAAAAAATACAACTTTCAAAGACACATTTTTCTCCAAGGTATGAAACTGTTTAGGAAGAAAGTGACCTGGAGAAACAGCTCAACTTCTGTTCTTAATAGGGGAACCAAGTCAGACTTAACCCATATTCCCATCTACATGAAGTGCTTAGTAAGCATGTGTTTGTTGGCTGCTATGATTCACTTGTATTTTACCCTTTTCTCTGGTAAAGGTAAAATTTAATTGCCTGTTAAATTTGCATTAAATACTTTGCATATTCAAGTTTCCTTGTTAACAAACAACTGCCCTATCCCAGTTATCCTGGTCTCAAGGTGTGTGTTTGCCCTATGTGACAAAGTTCTATGGTAATTTTGAGTGTCATAAACATATTTGTTGGAGATAAAAGATCTTAGATTACAGCTTAATATAAAGCTATCTTTAACCTGCATTTAAAATGTTTATCTAGGCAAGACTTGCTAGTTTGAAAATAGCGTACCATAAATAGAAGCCCTTTTTAAAGAAAATCATTTTATTAGGGGCTCATACAACTCATCACAATCCATACATACATCAATTGTGTAAAGCACATTTGTATATT